AGACAAACACACACACACACACACACAGACAGACGCGAAACTTTTTGATCATCACTGGAGTAATAGGCTTCGCTATCGCTCAGCCAATCAAAAATGGTCTTCAGATTTGTTCAGAAATGAAGCTCGACGCATCCGTGCAATAAAGGCGGATGAAAAAGCGGTCGCTGAACAATGCCGAATCAGCAAGCGGTCGCTGAACAATGACGGATCAGCGACCGCTTTCTGATCCGTCGTTGTTCAGCGACCGCTTCCTGATCCGCTGTTGTTCAGCGACCGCTTTTTGATCCGCCTTTGTTGCACAGATGCGTCGAGCTAATATCAGAATTTGAATGATTTTTTGAATAAATGTTTTTAAAAAGTATGAAATGCAACGGTGAAATTTGTGTAAAAATAGCGAAATTCAGAAAAAAAAAAAGAACATAAAAGACCGAGCATTGTCCCAGTATCATTTCACTGGTGAAAAGTGAAAAGGTCGTGTGTCCAAAAACCCGATTTTTCAGGAGAGCATAAAAACGGTTTGTATCTCTGCTTTAGACAATATGGCAAAGCAAATACCTTGGATTGCTCAGTTTTGCAATATGAAACACTCGATTAAAAAAAAAATTATGAAAGTTTTATACTACCGGAGTTATTTGACGTATAAAATGACAATATGGGATAAGTCCGGTTGTAATTTTTCAGACAGGCGTAAGTCCAAAACGAGGCTTTTCCAAAGAGGCATATGTCCGGATGTGATTTGGCAGAATGGCATATGTCCATGGATCCGGAGGACTTACGCTATTCTGACAAATCACAACCGGGACATACGCCCTTTTCAAAAGTCATGTTTGTGGACATACGCCAGTCTGTCAAATCACACTCGGACTTATGCCACTCTCAGAAATCACCACTGGACATGCTCCTTTTTGTCAAATCAGGTGGCATGGACTTCACTTTTCCTCTATCTAGGGCTAATGTAACATCAACAATCCTGAGACAAATAGTTATGCAAAACATGTTCTAGATTGTTGGTTATTTACGTCAACATTCAAAGTCAACTGTCACCATGGTGGTATTTTAATGGTGAAAATACAAAGGAGGAGGGACACTTAGGAAAGTTTTGACTATACCAAACGGTTCCTATTACCCAGTAGTATCCAAAAATGGAAAAAAGTGATTGTCGGAAAAAGTGGACTTACCCCACTTTCTCTTGTCACCAGTGAATTCCTACCCTATTAATAAAAAAAAAATATGAAGACTCGAAAACCTCTCTATCTCACCGGTGCATGACGTGGGTGAGAACATGTAAAAATAACAGTCACAGTATTTCCGATAACTGCATATTCAGTTTCTTTAATCTTCTGTACCCCGCTAAAACTAAATTAACAGTCAACATGCTTTGCAATTACGAAGTGACGGTTTGCAATTGCAAAGCGATGCTTTGCAGCGTTTTCATTGCTTCGCAATTGCAAAGCATCACTTTGTAATTGCAAAGTAAATGCTTCGTAGATACAACGGAGCAAAATACTTCGCAGCTCTGCAAAGCGAATGCTTTGTAGGAATTTAACACTGCAGTTTCTGTTTGGAGATTGCTATAACTCCGCAACAACTGGTCAGATACACTCAGGGAAAAGTACCCAACAATTGCAGTGAACTGTCAGCACAGAGATAATCCGCCTGTAAAGGCTCGTCTTTTCCCAATTTTCTTTCGTGGTTAATAAGTGCAGATTTTGGGGTTGGTTTGGCCCAGGCAAGTTACAGGACCATGGTACATGATGCATCATCAATAAGGACAAGAAATTCGGTTTTCGGAGACGGTCAGTAAACAGATGGCCCACGCCCAAGGGTGATCCCTCTGAAAAGGTGTTGCCACTCATCCGATTAGGAGCAGAGCGCCCAGTATGCATCAACCCGAGGCCGGCGGAGACTTGAGAGTCGCACGCCGCGGCTCGTTGCGGCGCTGCAACAAGGGCGGACGTTGCTCTCGCGTTGCGTGCCGCGCCCACAGAGCAACCGCACAGCAGGACACGCGCGGCCGCAATTCTTAAAAATGCACGCTCCTTCATACTTAACGCAGAAAGAAGGCTCACGCACATTGCACAAAGACAGGATGCCTGCCTGCACTTGCGGCACATGAAGTGCGGGGCCGCACCTGAAAGCGCTGTGCACTACAAGGTGAGTGCCTGGAGGCGGTGGGCCGGGGGAGGGGGAATTGAACACTAGGGTTACTAACCCCCTTCCCCCCCCCCCTTTTTTTAACCCGCCCTTCTGCTTTAGAAAAGCTATCCAGCGGGATTATGCAAACGACCTCCTGTCTGTGTGTCTGAGTGTCTGTCTGTTCCACTATCGTGATGACAGACATACAGACAGACGGACGCGAAACTTTTTGATCAACACTGGAGTAATAGGCTTCGCTAATCGCTCAGCCAACAAGCAGGCCCGCCCTTACGCCTAACAGAATTGCCAGCTCCGCTTCGCTTCGCCGGCAACTTCGTTCGGCAGAGGCAGGCTCAGAGGCAGGCTCAGCCTGCCGGCGGCGATGGTCGGGCCTGCGGCCCGACCATATTTCTGTCACGCGATTTGGGCAAAACCGCAAAATCGGAGCCCTGGTCGTGGCATTTTTTTTTTCACCGAAACTGACAGAAAAAAATGTCTTGGGTATCCTCGATGCTTGCCCTGAACGATTCCAACACACATTTATTTCCCGAGGCGGAAGGAAATACTGGTAAGAAAGGTACATCAGTGGTACAAGGTGTACTTTTCTATTGTTCTCCGGAGCTTAGGCGCTCGCTCCGGCTCCGAGCGTGGGATTTGTGGTACATGCTCGGTCCCGGGCCTCCCAAAAATGAGTGGTACAAAAAGTACAGCTGCAATCCTGGGCTGGCCCGGGGTGGCGGCGCGTGGCGGGGAGTGCGGCGTGCCCCCCCCCTTCCCACCACCCCCACTCTCCCCATACTCCAGCTGAGATGAAATTGTTGTAAGTCCAACATCCACGTTGACTTTTAAAACATTCAGAATTTACTGAGGGACGATTGAGAACAAAATTTAAAGTTTCCCAAACATTAGGCTTTACTTCCTGAAAAAAGAAAAGTTTGCCTTGTTTGAAAAAAGATACAAATTTCCTATTTGGTGTGAGTGTTAACTTAAAGCAAAAGCACCCTGCAGGCAAGTGTGTCCCACACTTTTTGTCCTTCGGGTTTCATGACTTCATAAATTAAAACAGTTACACCTGAAAGTTGAACACTTCGAAGTGTTCAACTTGTCACCTGCACAATTAATTTAACACTTAAAAGTGTTAAAATCCAATATTTTCAAATGCCCTTATTCCTTTTAAGTATGCAATAAGGCGTTAAATATTCTTGTATTAAAGCTTCTAGCCTGTTGAACACTTTGGGATGTCAGGCAGCGCAGCAGCCTGGCTACGTTTGAATTTACGCGCGTTGCTGGAGACGGACAGCCGCCAGCCAGCCAGCCAGCCAGCCAGCCGGCAGCCGGCAGCCAGCTACACATAACCTGCAAAACCCCATGCGGTTGGCTGTGTAAACAGTCACTATTTTTCTTGGATTTTGGAGGTTTTTGTTCGGTTCTCATCATTTAGATTGCATCTATTTGTGCCCCTGTGTGAAGTGAATAACATATATTGGTGGGAAAGTGATTGAAAAGACGGAACAATGTTAAATCGAAACAAATCTAAAACGCAACCACCAGCCTGCAGATGCACTCAAGATCAGTTTCCTTTCGATTTTTACTACTTGCATTCTGTAATGGTCAAGCCAAATTCCAATATTACGTGCTGTGTTAATTTTGGGCATACTCTAAGACAGAAGATAAAACTGAAATTGTTGGAAACAGGAGTGGACCCAACCTAATGAATTCCACACTCCTCAGCTTTCTATCAAGGTCTGTACTGGTTAAATCATATTGTTATCTATATTTTGCTTTGAAGTTCTTGTTTTTTCATAGTTCCCCAAATATTACAATTTTAGTTGTGCTTAACCTATTATATTTGTACCTGTTTATAGGATGTCAACCAGCTAAACTTTGATTACGTGCAGGACAGTATTCAAGATGAACAAGATCAAAGTCTTAAAGTGCGGTGAGTTCACAAAAATATTTACCTGTTAAAGAATATTAGGTTTCCATCTGTATAATCAGTTGTGGGTGCACAATTTAAAATTACAATTTGAAGTGAACAGTTATTTATGAAAGACTGCAGTGAGATGTACTAAATAGCTTTAAAACTAAACATATTTTTCACATGAACTCTTAAAGTTCTGAGTGTAATACAATATCGGATGAGTGGGTATTAAACCAGCATGCGTGCCCTTATTTACTAAGCAAAATTTTTATAGAAAATCCTGGAAAAATAAAAAGGCCATGAAAGTGAGATCCTTATAGAAAAAATGTAATTTTTTTAAACAGTAGCCTTCTATTAGAATTAAATTTTGTCAAGGCCCTTCAGTACAAGCTGTGTGCCAAGTTTGGTGATCACTGGCCATTCCACTTTTGGGTAATACACTTAACCGTTTCTCAAGTAGAGTTCAACCAAATATTTTTCTGACTTGGCAAGTATATTTTCTTGAAACTGTTACTGGTGGTTAAAAACCAGTTCTATGTAGTGTTATTGTTTGTGAAATAAAATTACTTGTAGCGACAAAGATTTATTTCAATATATTAGTAAGGATTTTACGCAATTATGGTTTGAATAAAACATTGGCAGTTACATTGGGTGTTTTAAAAACTATAGAATGGTCTAACCCACTGTGTTTAGAATCAATTGCAAGATGATTATTTAGAAATTGTTTCACATTGTTTACCTGGAAACAATTTCTAAAAATAATCTTGCAATTGATACCAAAAACACTGGGTTAGAACATTCTATATTTTTTAAAACACCAAATCTAACTGACAAGGTTTTACGAAAACAATAATTGCGTAAAGTTCTGACTAATATATTGAAATGAATCTTTGACGCTACATGCTACTTTATTTCACAAGCAATAACACTATGTGAAACTGGTTTTTAACCACTAGTAACCGCTTCAAAAAAATATACTTGCCAAGTCAGAAAAATATTTGGTTGAACTGCACTTAAGAAATTGTGAAGTGTATTACTCATAGGGGAATGGCCAATAGTCACCAAACTTGGCACATAGTTTGTACTTTAAGTTAATGTTAAGCATTAAAAATTTACCAACATTTTGTTTCTCTGTTTTTCACAGCTATGCTCTCAACCTCATCAAGCTACCAACAGCTCAATATCACTCCTGGTAAGCTCATTGTTTTTTATTTGTAAGCATGATATTCCAAATGTGCTTTATAACAACTGAAAGTTTCTTAATATTTTAATTTTCTCTGTTTGCAGACTTTCTACCTCAACTTCAAGCAATCCCGGCTTTTTAAATTGTGTTTGTCTTGTATTATCAGTTTTTTTTGTTGTTGTTTTTGCCATTTTGAGACCCATAATTAAATTTCTCTGTATACCTTATATTTTCTGCGTTTCTTTTCGCTGTGTACCTGTGCGGAGAAGAGGGGGAGGGGAGGGTCC